TTTTTGTTTCATCTTTAGATTTACTCTTAAGGAGAGTGAGAAAGAGTGCGGCCTTTCGTTTGCGTTCCTCCTGTTTGTCTTTGGCGGCCCTCTCTCTCACTGCGAGCGCTAACTTGTCTTTCAGCGCATTATCGCTCATCCGTTTGGCACTACTGTCGGTGTTATTGGCAATGCATTCGTCGTCCCGTTTCGACGAACCCGTTGTCAACGGATTCTCGTCCGACGGTTTGCTCTCTTTAGTGCTAATACTAAAACTGACGGCAGTTTTATGTCTGCTATTGGACTCGCTTTTAGTGGAACAGCTCTTCTTGTTTTTGAGCTTTAGCTGAGCGACCGATGCCTTCCGGTTCTCCTCCAGGAAATGGAGTTTCCGTCGGATATAGTGGGCGTGATATATGTGTCCCGGGTTTACGAAATCAAATCGATTTTCGCCCAACTTTTTGATCGACGACTCAAACTGTTCGCCATTCGTGGCCACCCTTTGGGCCAACTTCTCGATGATCTGCGAGATGTCCGGCGGTGGAGACGGCAGTAATGATGACCACAAAGTTTGAGCTGTGTTTGTGACACCGGGTTTCACTTGAAATTGACTTTTATTTGCTTCAGAATCCACTGAAACTATAGGTACTGTTTTTAATTCAGGTTTTGGTGTCTCTTCGACGGGCTCTTCGAGCGCGGGAACCATATCTTTAAGACTCTTCACGAGTTGGGAATACAAGTCATTACTGTTTGGCGCCCGTAATAGATTGGGTATATTAAAGGTGCGGGAGTTCTGTGTCCTGTTGGCCGACGACCCCAGAAGACTTGGATGCAAATAGTGTTCGCCATCGGAGTTGTCGTCCGACTCGTCAGAGTTATCACTCGTTTGGTTCTGATTTGGGGTATATTTTCCGGACTTTATATTCTCTAAAATGTATTTATAATACGAGTAAAGTTGCGAATCAAACGACAAAAAATCAAAGTTTCTATTCGACGACTGTTTTGTCTTTAATATGATTTCCATTTGGATTCCGTGTTTACTCACAAACAGAGCGGTCTTTTCGATAATATTATGTAGTTTTTGACTTTGAGGCTATAAATCAAACGACAATTAGATCTGAAAATAATTTGCATAAAAAAACACAAACCAATAAAATATTTTCTGGAGGATTGAGACCCTGCGGTAACTTAAAGCGGTCCGCGTCTTCAGCTTTAGGTTTCTGTTCGCACGTCGACTCGGGAGGAGTCGTTTGAGCGGTAACTGAGCCCTCGTTTTGCTCGTAATTATAGCTAATTTGGTTATAACCGGAGCCGTCGGCCAAAGCCAAATGCAATCGCTTTATCTCTTCATCTAAATACCGAAACGACAACAAAAAACCATCAAAAAACACATTTTAACGCCAAATCCAGACACAAACCGTGATTATCATCGATGTCTTCGGACTTAAGGTCAGCGAAGCGCTCTTCATCGCAGAGGCGCTCCATTTCGAGCTCTTCGGGCGACAACTGTTCGTCACTTTGTTTGCGGTTCGCGTCGAACGGACTCAAGTCGTGAAGATATCCTCTGACGTCAAACCTGGCGGTCGGTAATGAGAGAAAGTGCACCAAAATATTAGACATTAGCAGACAATGAGGTCTAAACACATGAAATATCCTCAAAATTTCCACTGATTTATGCAATTCTTAAGTGTTTTTCTCTAATAAAAAACTAAACTATAATTTTAGGTCCGAATTAGCGAAACATTTAGCCATTGAGTGGTCGGAAAACTTTGCGCCAAAATGCTACTCGTTATTTGGACATTACTTTTCAATACTAGCTATGAATCTAACGGATCTATAATTAAAACAATCAGTCAATCAGTGATTAAAACAAATTGTGAGCCGATTTTGTGCGCAAAGCCGTGCGATCCGCTAATTCTTAGCCATTTATTTTTGTACATTAATAACAAATGTATGCTATAATTGATTGCATACTGAATCATAATGAGGTATACAATCGTATCGTTTGTGTGTGTTTTAAATAAAATGTTAACAAATAGGTAATAATAATATAGAAACTTATGGTTTGCATATTTGAATCAATCATTGTATTGCATTGTATAATTCATACCAATCCTTTTCTGGTAACATTGATATTAACAGTGAATAGCATTTCCATCCGATTATTATCATATATTAACCACAAATCACATCCTGTATTGTCTTAAGAAAAGGTATTTTCAAATTGTTTATCGTTATAAAAAACAAACAAAAACAACAAATCAAACGTTAAAAAGGAGACAAAAGTTTGTGTCAAAAGTGAAACCAAATAAATGATCGAAAAAAACAAAAATCAATTCATTTCTGGTTTTAAAACAGTTTTCAATCAATCGATTCAAAGAGTTTTTGTGTCCGAAGAGAGAATCAATTAATTAATAAATTCAACGTTCAATGGATAGGCAGTCGATGGCTAACTAGATATATGACGGACCTGTCTATGAGATGGTCAGTGGATCCGTTCCAACCGATAAGATGCTGTCCGCTGTCCATCTCTTGGGCCCTGAGGTCGTCGCGAAACAGTTTACACGAGTAGCCGAAGACAAACAACTGGTCCAACGAATCGTCGGCCGGCGCCGCGCCACCGCTCGACCCGTGGCCGCCACTGGCGCTCGTGTGGGCCCTGTCGTGGTGGTGATGGCCAGCCTTCCTCTGGGTCTGCGTCTGTGACCACAGGTGTGTCGGCTCTGAACCAATCGATCGGAACAATGAATACGAGCCCATCGTTGTGTCCATCCCTTTGGCACCAATTCCGGTGATCAATGGTGTGCTCGTGTGTCTTGTGGTGATCGCGTGGATAATGAGATCAATGGATAATCTCTTAATTATAGCAATAATTCATTTAATTAATTGTAAGTAAATAAAAGTTATAATAAGCAGTGAATCGCCATTTAATGAGACGTTCACTGAAAACGTTACGATTGGGTGCGAGGGTTGGGAGGGATGAGGGGTTTGGCCTCTATTTGGTTCACCAGTTGTGCCATTCGTTTGATTCAGTGTTTTGTCATTTAA